AGGGGGCGAGCGAGGGGGAGGGGCGGGGATGCCGTGGTTCCGGGCGCGGGTTTGCCCGCGCTCAAGCCCCGCGCAACTAAGGGGCGGTGCCGGCCACGGTCCGGCTTTCCGCGCCAAATTTTTAAATCGAAGGCGGAAGGTCCGGGCCCGCCCCTGGCGCCGCCAACCAATCGCGGGCCCGGAGCCGGCTCTCTGATTGGTTGGGAATCGTTGCCCTGGAAACCTCGAAGATGCTGTCGGAGAACTGCCGGGCTGGCGGCGCGCGGACTGGGCCTGGGGGAGGGGCAATTGGCCGGGCGGAGGGGGAAGTGCGCAGGCCGCGGAGCGTGTGGCGCCTGCGAGAACGTACCTGGGCACCTTAGTAAAAGCAGCCTTCCATGCTGGGGTCCAACATCGTGGCGTGAACTGGCCGCCCCAATAGCGAGTGCATTGTACTTTGCATCTTTGGGGAAATCTTTATAAAAAGTCTTAATCGTAAGGCGTTCTTTAAATGCCCAGAGTACGGTTGAAGCTTAAGGACCGAATTTGGAAGTTTCCTATCAAGCTATTTCCCAAGACTTTACTGCTGAGCCTAAGTACTTGTGTGTCAGGAAAGAAATTCAGGCATCTAGATGCAGACTTTTATCCAGGAACTTGGGGTTGTGTCTGTTCAGCCAGAACCTGGGCTCACGAGCTCAGTCTCGGGCCCTGATCTGTGAACAGGTTGGTGCTTATGCTTGCTACTTTCCATTCGATGGGGTCCGGAGAATGGCCTGCCTTCTCTAAAGGTGAGAGAGGGCTGTCACTGGAAATTCTATGGGTTGCTCGAAGTCTCGTGACAGCGGATTGGTTTGCTGAAGGAATTTACTGGCGTTTGATGTAACTTTCTGCCCAGTGGAGCTATCTCTGGTTGGAAATAAAATATAAATGTAGTTTGTCAGTTTTCAATAGTCTTTGTTTCAGTAGCCTGTGGTGTCCATAAAGAAATTTTCAACGAATTTTCTGCTTTTTTTAATTTTTCTATTTCCTTTTTTCTTTAAGGATATTAAACTTTTTAATATAATTGATTGGACTGCTTGAACCATCAGGATATTGGGAGGAACTTCCGAATTTTCATTTTTAAAGAAACTCAATGTATGAGAAATTTACAGGATGGAGAATGAAAAGGTACCTTTTTAACTTCAGTATTCATTATTGCATATTTAAATGCAATATCATCCAGGTTTAACTCCATAATTTTTCAATATCCAATATCTTATTAATGCCACATCTCCTTTTCATTAGCCTCTGAAAACCCAGAAGGAAGGGAAATTTAATTTTTGAAGAGGGGAAGAGTTGCCCAGAGTTAATCTTTCTAGTTTTTAAAGGTTTGGTGGAAGAATCAAAGAGATAAGCAGAGAGAAAACATATTTTTAAGAATAGTAAAAGTTGTTCATTGCATTATGATATTTTTGAGAATTCTTGAACAAAAGGAATTCAGAAAGGGCATTTGACATAATTTGAGATTGGATTTATTTTTAAGATAATATTCTACCAAATCACTACCTTCTTTAAGTATGGGGGCTACAAATACTGTTTGAGAGAAAAACGTTTTGTAAAATTACGAAAGAATTGTCCTTGGGGGTATCTTAATTAATGTCTAGCTACTGCTAGGTTAAAATGAAGAAATTTCCTAAATTTTAGATATTAGTCAAATAAGAGAATTGCTATTGCTTTGATAGTCTGAGGCAAAGGTCAATAGCCTTTAGAAATATCCCAGTCTTGGTTAGCACTTCTCAGGTGCACATGCTCAGGAGGGTCCCCCACTGGATCTCTGACACCAACTTCCATGTAAGAAAACCAGAGTTGGATTGAGATTTGGATTCAGGTCCTATGTGACCTCTCCCAGCCTGACTGTCCTCTTCTGCAGAATGAGACTGATTTGTTGAAAATACAAATGGAAAAACACTTGATAAATCCTAAGGCATATAAAATAACCCCAATAATATTTGTTTCGAAAGTCTCTGAAGAATTAGTGCATCTTTCTATTCTTTCACTTATTGCCATTCCAAGCATTTTCTTTAAAGTAGGAATAATGTGTGAAGTCTCCAGTGTCCAAAAGTAGAAGAAACCTGGTCTCCATTAGTCTTATTTATGAACTGCTCTTAATTTATCCTCCTGTGTCTCAGTGGCAGCCCCCTGCTGCCAGGAAGTAGCTTTGTGACTGAATAACTAATTTTACTTTATCTAAAGAGTAAAGGAGTAGACATTTAAAGGACAGACTTTTCTGGTCAGAAATTCTACTCTTTGGCACTCCGGATTTTGCTCCCTACTGGATTTTGCCAACAAATCTGACCGTATGCTAGCCCTCATACTCATTTCCTTGGCTCTCTGACTCTTATGCATCAGTGGTGTTTTATCGAGCACTTATAACCTGCAGTCACTGTGCTAGATGGATACACAGATGAATGGGACATGGTTTCTGCCATGGAGGCCTTATTACAGTGTCATGAGTAAAAGTCACTCCTAGGAGTTTGGGATCACTTAAAGTTATCACTCCTATTAGGGGAAGCTGAGTAAAAGGTACATGGCACCTCTCTGTGTTATCTTTGCAACCTTTCTCTAAGTCTCAAATTATTTCAACATAAGTTAAAAAATTATAAGTTTTAAAGTTTCTTTAATCCTTGGAACAGAAGGTGAAAAAAATTAAGTCCATGCTTCGTTGCAAAATGAAAAATGGGAAGTTTAGCTTTTAGAGTGGACTAATGCAACCTCGTTAGGCATTCTTTTTCTTAGTAATATTCTAATTATTGTATAATTTCTAGAGTCAAAAGCTATCTGATAAATCCTGTTTTACAGTGAATTTATTTACTTGTTTCAAACCAGGAAAACCTCTTTTTTGAGCCACATAAAAGGGGATTGATGAAAACACCTCTGAAAGAATCCACTGTAGCAAACACAGTGTTGACAGAGATCCAGCCTGACTTTGGCCCTTTAACCACACCCACCAAGCCCAAGGAAATCTCCCAGGGAGAACCATGGACACCAACAGCCAACCTGAAAATGCTCATCAGTGCTGTGAGCCCTGAGATCCGCAACAGAGATCAGAAACGGGGGTTGTTTGACAACAGAAATGGATTACCTGAGCCCAAAGATTGTTTACACGTAGGTTTGCAGAGGACTGGGTGGAGACTAGGGGACTTGCGGGGAGGAGAGGAGTAACTGTTACAGCATTGCCAGCAATATAAAGCATCGCCACCCTCACACAGTTATTAGCCTTCATCAGAGCACCAGAAAAGTTTGGACCCTGTCAGATACATAACTGGAAATTCTGAACCTTTGACTTATTTTCAATTCAAGCTTCCCTTTCAGAGATCTGCCAAGCAGTTGGCTCCCCAACTTTTTCCCCCCAAATTTTGCAGCTATTGAAGCAAAGCACATGAATCGGTGTTAGTCATAGAACACAGACGCCCCTAATAAATCTGTCAAATGTTATTTCAGAATAAGACATTATTTACCTCTTCCTTTGTAGGAACACTTATCTGGAGACGAATATGAGAAATCCCAACCGAGTCGAAAAGAGAAAAGTTTAGGATTGTTGTGTCATAAGTTCTTAGCACGATATCCTAATTATCCTAACCCTGCGGTGAATAATGACATCTGTCTTGACGAAGTAGCTGAGGAACTTAGTAAGTATACAAAGAACTCACTGAAATGGTTAATAATTATTGCGAGTTCATAGACTTACTCCTTCAGACCCCCATTCATCTAGCCAGTGTTTGTAATGGCACAAATAAGTCCACAGGGAATTATAAATCTCTAAAGCCCTATTAATTTAAGAATAAAGGCATGTAGTTTCCAATTTTCGTGAACCTTAAAACAGAAGCAAAAAATCACAATGAAGTTTGCTTCTGACTGCATTTCAAAAGCTCTGGAGCTTTAAAGGAAGGCAACATTGTTTTATGACTTGTTTCTTAACTGCTACAACTTTGAACTTCTCTCTTGAAGAGCCAGGCTACAAAATGGTATCTTCCTAGTTTATGAGAAGGATCAGCTTGTGTGTGAGAGAGTGGGGCTTTAGCTCTCCCTGCCACTCAGCACTATTCTAAGGACCAATTGGTTTTCTGAGTGTTTGGCAAAATTACTGTGTCTCCCTGCCCCCTTTTACTCTTCATAGACTCAAACCTAGTTATAGCTAAAAAGGGGTCTGTGGCAAATTTGGGGTACATTTGGAGTCATGAAAATATCATAATCTGAAACTGAAGAGATAAGCGGGATATTTTAATATATAGCTATTGCCCCATAAAGAAAGTTTTACCCTTCTAACACATGTTTATAAATGTTCACTTCACTTCACATTAAACTGTGTAGGATGTACCCTATAATTCAGCAGGTATCTATTGATTGCTTTCTACGTGCCAGGCAATGTAGAAGCTTGTAATAATATCCGTGAACAAAAAGGACAAAATCCCTGCTCCTGTGGAAACTACATTCTAGTGGGGGCAACAGATAATATGCAAAGGACATAAGTAAGTCATTATAATGTATGTCAGAAGATAATATGTACCGTGGAAAGAAAGAAAATGTAGACCAGGGTAAAGATCAGGCGTTCTTTGCAATTTTAAATTTAAGTGATCAGGTCAGGCCTCATTGAGAAGGTGACATCTGAGCCACGACTTGAAAGAATCAAGGCAGGAAGCCATGAAGACATCTGGGAGAGGGATTCCAAGCAGAAGGAACAGCCTAGCACAAAGGCCTTCAGGGAAGACCATATCAGGCAGGTTCCAGAAACAAGAAATCTCAGCATGTTGTATCTATCATATGACAGTCGTGTGTATGTGTGTTTGGAAATAACATAAGAAACAGGTTGCAGAGTGTGAGATTTAGTGTATTAAAGACTTGGTTTTGCTACTCCCTGCCTCTGCCTTGGAGTGATCTGCTTAGCCACCCTGAGCCTCTATTACTTCATCATTAAAGTGTAGATAATAATACCTATCTCACAGGTTTAGGGCAGAAATGTCCTAAAGCTGTATGGTGCATAGGAGACCCTCAGCAAATTACCTCTCTAATTCGTATTAACTATTTGTACGCTTCGAGAGTGGGGACGTGTCTTTCTCATCTTCACGGTCTTTGTTGTTGAGCGTTAACAAAGTTACATCATCCAGAACCTACTGATTAATAAACCACAGAAGAAAAAGTTATTCAGTTCTTTACACGTTACAAAACCTGATCCTAATAATGTATAATTTCTCGTTCTTTGTAGATGTTGAGCGTCGGCGCATTTATGATATTGTGAATGTCCTAGAGAGCTTACATATGGTAAGCCGCCTTGCCAAAAACAGGTACACTTGGCATGGGCGACATAATCTCAACAAAACCCTTGGGACTTTGAAAAGCGTCGGGGAGGAAAACAAGTACGCCGAGCAGATTATGATGATCAAAAAGAAAGAGTATGAACAAGAATTTGACTTTAGTAAGAGTTACAGTATAGAGGATCATATCAAAGCAAACACTGGCCAAAACGGACACCCAGACATGTGTTTTGTCGGACTCCCTGGAGTGGAATTTCGGGCAGGTGAGAGATGGTATGGAAAAGCTCAGGTCTAAAGAAAAGGTTCTTTAGGGAACATGCTCTAAAGCTACGCCATCTTTAACATTAAAATGCTGCAGTTGTCAACTGAGTGATCAGGTGGTAGTATTTTTAGCCTTGTTACTTTAGAAGTCACTTGTCCCTTCATGAATTTTAATTCTCTAATCCTCATCCTTCTTCAAAGCTTCTGTAAACAGCCGCAAAGACAAGTCTTTAAGAGTGATGAGCCAGAAATTTGTGATGCTGTTTTTGGTGTCATCGCCTCAGATAGTAAGCCTAGAAATTGCTGCCAAGATTTTAATTGGGGAGGACCATGTGGAAGATTTGGATAAAAGCAAGTTTAAAAGTAAGTGTCATGACTGCCACGGACTTTTGGACCTATTCTTAAACAATAAAATATCACTTACAAACTGATTTTCAAATACATTTGCTATGTAAATTGATCTTCTCTAATTATGCTTTTGTATCTTCACTTCTCCCCAGAAGCCATGATCATGCTGCTTTAGCGAATGTGTAGGATTCAGAGATATATATAAAACTACTCTTATTTGCCTAACATTTTGGCTTGTAAACAGTTCCTTAAAAGTTACCTCATTTGACACTGCAACATTGTCCCCATTTTACTCCTATCCAATCTACAATTGCCTGAAGTCAAAACGAGCAGTAAATTGTAGTAAAGTGGGACTGGAACCCAGGTCTCTGCTCTTTCTACTGTCTCTCATAAGTGAGAGTACAAATAACCCTTCTCCAATTGTCCCCAGACGTGACCTGCAGCACAATTGGCTTGCCATTTTGAATGACTAGTTTTAGCCAGAATATTTGCTCAAAGTCCGAATGGGATTATAGATTGGGTTCCTGAAGCAGAGGTCTGTCCTCGCCTCCATAACAGACTTTGCAGGAACCTCCATGTAGAAGAGTAGAGTGAAGGTGTGGAAAGATGGGCTCAGCAGGTGGGTGGGGTCTGCTGCACTCTCTCCTGGGGGCATTAGCAAACCTCCAAATAGGGAGTGAAGCTAGCCTGAACATGGGACACTTTGGGTGATCCAGCTCTATCTATGGCGAAGATGGTGAGGAAGAGGCTGCAGAGGCCGTGGGAATGCCCACAAACTGTCACACAGACTTGTTCCCGTCCCTGAAAAGCAATACTAGTCCCATGAAAGTATATTCAGACATCCCCAGGCTGATAGTGTCTCTATCAAGGCAAAATTAAGTAGAGAGAAAAGCAATAATACTGGCAATTGGCTTGGGAGATCTGCAATTTCAGAAAACACATCCTGATACTACTGATGTGCTGCCTGCTTTACTGAGTCACCAGGCAGTTTTCAGCTCATTTCCCTGGTTAGTCAAAGCCTTGGAAACTATTCCAGGAACTGCAGATGTGTAATTTGCTGAATCCCCAGGGAATTCAGAACCTTCTGTCATGGTTATGAAGAAGGGACTTGATTTATAATTTTTGTACTAACAAAATGGATGTAAAAGCAGACTTTTTCTAACAAAACTTTTTAAGATATGTAAAATCTATAGAATTATAAATCTATGCTTTGCATATTACATAAAGACAATGCAACAATTTACAAATTTTGATGGGCTATGGAATTTCCCATGCTTATGTTACTAAATCTTATTGATGTAAACTATCACAAGCAGGAAAGCTATACATTTATTATTGATGCTTTATTTCCTTTGTTCATAAAATTCTTCAGCATCCTCATTAGAAGATGCTCAGCAATGGTGACTTTTTATCAAAAAGTCTATAACATAGTTTCTGATAGGGTGATCTCATTAAGTCATTTTTCCTTTTTTCAACTTGTGCATTTGTCATTTCAAAATTCACTACCAGCAGTAATTGAGTCTTTTCAATATTCAAAACTTTTTTTTGTCTTAATTAAAGCAGTATCACTAGAGTAGCTTTAAAAGAGTTACATTTCCCTTTGACACTGATGGTTAGGATTGCTCTTTGAATATACATGAAATCCTTATGAAGCAAAGTCCTTTGATCTTTCATTATTCTATTAAATGGTATATATACTTTTTTTTTCCCCAGCAAAAATAAGGAGGCTGTATGATATAGCTAATGTTCTGAGTAGCCTGGAGCTTATCAAGAAAGTTCATGTTACAGAGGAAAGAGGTCGAAAACCAGCTTTTAAATGGACAGGCCCAGAAATCAGTCCAAATCCCAGTGGTATGTATTTGTTTTCCTAAATTCTTTGCTTCACTGTTTTGAAGTAATGCACATTTGGAGATAGTCTCTCTTCCCTTTCTGACCCACACTCCTACAAGGAGAGAACATATCTAAGTGGTTGAAAAGACGAAGATGAGTGTCAATATAGAAAGTTTGGCTACTGGCTCCATCAGCAACCCAAAGTCCATAACCACCTCCCACACAGTGCTCAGAAGGTAGAATCTGAAAGCATCACAAAACATACGGTACTATTGCTGCCCTTATGCTTCTCAGTGACCATAACGGAGTCTATGTTCATTGAGAATGAAATGAATTCATTCCGATATTAGTATCCTCATCTCCATCTCAGCTCTGGGGTTCTAACATTTTGCATTCCACCAAAGATCCCCACGTAGAGGTGCTAGAAAGTGGCGAGAACATGGGCATCGAGGCAGAGGGAGACTTAGGTTCCAGTCCCAGCTTTGCCACTTACTAGCTGTGTGGCCTTAGGCAAATTAATTACATTTTCAAGGCTGAGTTTCCTCATCTACAAAATGGAAAGAACCATGGCACCTTTGTGAGGTTATTATGATTTGGGATGTAATCTCAGAAAGATTTCCTTTGGGGCAGAGAACTGTAGTGCAGGCTCTGGAGCCAGACTAATGGAGTTCACATCCTAGGCCCACATTCGACTAGCTGAGAGACCATGAGTCAGTTGCTTAATGTCTCCAAAATGCCTCCTAATGGGGATGTATTTCCTGAGAAGTACCTACCTGGTGTTGTTGAGAGTGTCTTAGTGTGTTTGAGCTGCTGTAACAACATACCATAGACTGAGTGGCTTATAAACAACAGAAATTTGTTTCTCAGTTTTGAAGGCTATGAGGTCCAAGATCAAGGTACCTGCAGATTCAGTGTCTGGTGAGCACCGGCTTTCTAGACAGCCTTCTTTTCATTGCAACCTCACAAGGTAGAAGTGGGTTGGGGAGCTCTGTGGGGGTCTCTTTTATAAGAGCACTAATCCTATTCCACAAGTCTCCGCCTTTGTGACTTAAGTACCACCCAAGGACCTCGAATATCACGTTGGGCATTACATTCCAACATATGAATTTGGCAGGGAGTCACAAATATGCAGTCCATAGCAGTGAGGGTCAGCATTTTTCACCAGATTAAGTAAGATTCCACTGATTATAAGATGTACAATTTTTTATATATCAATAAAGGAAAAAAAAACACTGACAATTACACTATAGCACACCACTGATTAGAAATGCTAAAGTGTGAAATCTTGTCTCAGAATTCATTTAATAGGATAAACAAGGTTTTATATCTATAAAGCCCTTAAAACGGTGTCTGGCACATATTTCGTGCTCCATAACTGTTGCCACTGTGATTCCTAAAATCATTTTAGAACTATAAATTGACCTCATATCCCAAAAGGAAGATGAACCACCCGTGTTTTAACACACGGCCCTTTTCTCTTTCAGGTCTCAGCCCTGTCATTTCTTTCTCCCCCTCAGATTTGGAAGTGAGGCAGTCTTCAAAAGAGAACTGTGCCAAAAACCTCTTTTCCACACGCGGGAAACCAAACTTCACTCGACACCCATCTCTTATCAAACTGGTAAAGGGCATAGAAAGTGATCGGAGAAAGATAAATTCTGCTCCCAGTAGCCCTATCAAGACCAACAAAGGTATGTTTTCAATCATGTCAGGGCTCTGCTTGGAAGAATTCTTTTCTAATTTTTTTTTAGCTTACTTGATCCAGATGGGACTTGTTAGAGAATTGTTTCCATGTCTGTATACCTAACCCCACTTAAAGCCTAACTTATGTATGACTTAAAAGATAAAAGTAGTTTGTGGGGTTTTTCTTTTCATTGCTAAGTGGTTTTTTTTGGAGGAGGGGGTACGTGTTCTCTGTTCTTTAGCGTTCAGTGATATGTCATATTCTTTTGATTTGACCATCTCCCCCCCTTTTTATTTCATCAGCTGAGAATTCTCAGAATTCTTCACTTTTCCCAAATAAAATGGCTCAGCTTGCAGCTATTTGCAAAATGCAGTTGGAAGAGCAATCAAGGTAGGTTGGCAATACTCTTTAGTAACAGGATAAATTACTTTTATGTTGCATCATTAGGATTACTGATTTTATGTTAAGAATAGGCTCTAGCCTTCGAGACTGGTGAGATAATCTTTCCTATAACTCATACACAATCATTACAGAAACATCTGCTAGTTTCATAAAAGCATGGCTTCAATCTGGGACAATCTAACGTAGAATGTTATAGACAAAATGTGTTTATTTTAGAACATTTTAGAAAATGTGTCATGTTTTAAAATCTTTTCTTTTAGTGAACACAGAAAGGAAGTCCAAGTACAGCTGGCAAGATCCGGGCACTGCAAACCATTGGCCCCTCTGGACACCCCAGTGAATGCTGAGTTGGAGCTGAAGGCACCTTCCCTCATCCAGCCCCTGGGGGTGGTCCCCCTGATCCCCAGCCCATTGCCATCGGCAGTGCCCGTGATCCTACCTCAGGCCCCTTCGGGCCCATCGTATGCCATCTACTTACAGCCCGCCCAAGCCCAAACCATGACACCGCCCCAAGGCTTGAGTCCAACAGTCTGCCCTAGCCCTTCTTCTAAAGCTACAAGCTCAAAAGATTCCACAGATGTCACCACTGAGAAGGCAGCCAATGATGCCACAAAGGCCAGTGTCTCCACCAGGCCTGGAAGCCTGCTGCCAGTGCTGGAGAGACAAGGTACACAGACCCAAGACGGGGAATCTGCTGGAGAAAAAGGCTTAAAGAGGACAAGCGTGCTCGAGGATAGTGGTTGCAAAAAGAAATTTAAAGAGGACCCAAAAGGACTTGAAAATGTCTCCACAGTAAGTACAACCTTTCGCTATGTAAAACTTTAGGAACACCCCAACTGATTAAAGGAGGATTTGGTGGCTTGTGAAATTTACCAGAGCAAAGAGCAGTCTCTCAGAAGACAAGGAACTGTTCCTTTGCATCCCATAATTCAAACAAGGCCCCAGACAGCTAATCCCCTGGCTGGGATGACTGCAGGGACATTTTTAACCTTTAGAGGAAGGGATTATTTACTCTCTTTTTAAAGCACCGTGGGTGGTTGTGCTTAAGTCCATTTCTCGGCCACATACTGGAATGCAAACACCTGTCATGAAAGTCTTAAATAATTTATGAGCAAACGTAACCCCAAATGAATGGATGGATGCGTAAGGTCCCTGTGACTCCTGCTTTCTGAGTCATTACCTAATGTTCGTTTGATGTCATATAACTGACATCTGTTGCCTAGAAGATAAATTGTTCCCCCTGTTTTTACTTTCTATCTAAAATTTAAACCGAAATTTCTATTTCGTGTAAATAGAAAAAACTTAGCCTGGCAAATTGTAGGTATGTTTTACACATTGCTTTCTAGGGATTTTGATGTTCTAGAGCATTTTTTTCCTAGGGGGAATTTAGTTCAGGAAGGAATTAACATTTATTGGATGCCTACCCACATACCAGATGTCAGAGGATTAGGCACTTTTACATGCATTATCTCATTTTCCTCCCTTAGGACAATTACATATGACATGATCACTGAATGAATACCCACCCCTAAATGTGGAAGCAAAAGTTAATCTCTCATTTTATCCCTGCCGTTAACTCAAATTATTTTACTTCTCTACATCTTATTTTCCCACATCTGTAAAGAATTTGTTTCACCAGTTTTCCCTGATCATCTAGTGGGTGTAAAGTATTGTGCTCTGGATCAAATCAAACCCAGCACCTGCCTTTGGTGACAGTTGCTTTTGAGTATTTGCCCCAAGCCATACTACAGTTTTTGTGAGGCTAAGTGAATTTATTACATGATGATACACATAAAGGGGTTTGTGATTCTTTTAAGGCACCATATAAGTTGAAGAGTATTATCTGTAACTGTTGTCATTGAGTAGGCTTTAGAGTTTGTCAAGTCTTCCTTAAGGATGGCCTCATGGTAACCATTTAAAATATCTATTAGCTTAGCTTAGTATCATTTTGCATTTAATATCCATGCTAGGGAGAAAATCACAAAGCTTTAGCCTGATTCAATTTTCTGTGAGATCCATAAACTCTTTGGGCCAATGAGATAATTTAATAATGGTCTCCTGTTGCTCACTTAGTTAATCAGGATTAGGGTTTTCAGTAGATAGATTTTCCATGCCTCTCTGCTTCTTCCTTCATTTCCATGACTTCGTTTTGATCATTTCTTCTTAGCATGGTCTGAGCAGGAGAAAGAAAATGTGTTCATTCATTCAGCCAACATTTACCGAGAATCTGGTTTTGGAGAGAAAACAATATACAAATAACACAAACATGTCAGGTAGTGAACAATAAGAACTATAGTGGAAATAAAATAGGATGATGTAATAGGAAGAGGGGTAAGAGGGCTAATATAGGCTAATGAGATGACATGCAAGTTGAAATATATCAAACTCATTTATCATACTAATTTAATAGTTCTCATTTAAAAAAAAAAAAAAGGAATTGGCATTAGAGGTTAAAGGATTTTGTGATGAATGTAGTTTCCAGAAAGTTGAAAAATAATTATTAGAGTACTATAGGTTTTGCCAAAGATTTGAAAGAAACCAGCAAGCAGAATAACTTGTACCATGAGAAAGATTCACAATAGCAAAGAGTTATTTATAAAATGCCTAAATCCACCTAAAAAATTTCTATTCCTACAGCTTTCAAGGAACCTACCAGTAAACATATTGAACAGTACCAAGCATCTCAGAAACAAAATTTAAAGTTGGTGGTACACTTTTAGCATTATAGATTCTGAATTCACTGGTTCCTGTTAACATCTAGATCAAAGTGTAGACTTATTTTGACAATGTCTAGAAGAGAGATCTGGAGGAAGATAAAAGGAAGGCCCTCAATTTACAAGAGCTGCTTTTAGCTTTGCCAGTTCTGCTCATGGTAAGGCTAAAGCATAGTTTTCAGGCCATTCAGCCACTCATGGCTTTCTATGTTAGGCTTTCTCTGTTTGGCAAAGTACAATGATCTAGCAGGCATGGGGAAGATATACACAACCCAACCTTCTGGGCGTTTCCATTTGGAATATAACTCTCTTGCCTAAAGCTTTTGTTCCATGACAGTTGGGCCTCTAATATGAATTAATCAATTCTCTTTTTTATCTGTAGTTTTTGAAATCTGGGTGCCATGCCATTTAGTTTGTATATTATAAGCATGTTTGCTTGGTCTCATTAGAACCTAAAGCATTAGGGGGAAAAAATCTATATGATTCCTTTGTTCTAAATCAGGAATCAGTAAACTTTTTTCTAGAAAGGACCAGATAGTAAATATTTCTGGCTTTGTGGACCATTTCATCTCTGTTGTACCTATTCAACTCTGCCATTGTAAAAAAAAAAAAAAAAATTAGGAAAGCACCTGTAGACAATACATAAATGAATGGGCATGGCTGTGTTCTTGTGCAATTTTATTTACAAAAACAGCCAAGAGGCTAGGTTTTGGCCCATGGTTTGGCAACCCCCTTCTCTAAATCAACATTTCTTAAAATGTTTTCCTTGAATACCAACACTATCAAAAATTTAGTTGCCAGCTAGCCTGGGAAATGCTACATGCTGGATGCCCCCTTGGAGATTTACAGTGCATGCCATTATTAAAGTCCCTCAGAAAGTCATAAAAACACCATTTTCCTTTGTTGAATTCAGCATTTCCCAAACATTTTTGAGCATGATTCAAGCACTGCCTGCTTACATCCTGTGGAACTAGGGTCTCTCAGAATACCCTTTGGGAAATGCCATTCTACATAATTCAAGATCAATCAGATAATAACACAGCAGGGACATTATGGTATCCAACGGCATTAAACTTGGTTCTCACGATGACCACATCATGCCAAGGAGTCTGATAAGCAGGACATACTGCGTCGGTGTTAAGGGGGTCTGCTGGGTGAATCTTACTCTAAGCAGGATCAGTGCCAGCTTTAGGGCACTTCCGAAGACCACATAGGGCATTTAGGAAACACATGGTTTGTATTACTCAGGACAAGTGTTGGAATGGGAGGAGGGATATTGTCTTCAGGGAGCTGTATAGCTTCCCTGCCTGTAGCCTACACCATTTAGAGGCTTTGGTCTGATGAAACAAACAACAACCTAGGGATAGTCCTGGAAGAGGCACATGGCCGTTTTTCTTCCAGTATTTGTGTGTAAAATAAACCCTTTCTCCTTGTTTTCTAGACCGTGTTCCCATCGGGATACCTAATCCCTCTCACCCAGTGCTCACCCCTGGGGGCAGAGTCCATTTTGCCTAGTAAAGAAAACTCAGGTACACTTTCCCCAAACCACAGGATCTACAGCTCCCCAATCGCAGGTGAGTGTACGTAAAACACTATTCAGATGTGGGTCATTCTCAAGTTCATTTAAACCTTCTAAGCGTCTCAGACAAATGCCTCTGCTTCTAAGATATTTACCCCCCCTTTTCTTTTCAGGTGTTATTCCAGTGACATCATCTGAACTCACTGCTGTTAATTTTCCCTCTTTTCATGTAACACCTTTGAAGCTAATGGTCTCACCAACTTCCATGGCAGCCGTACCTGTAGGGAACAGCCCAGCTCTCACTTCAAGCCACCCCTTTCCAATGCAGAACCCAAGCTCAGCCATTGTAAACTTCACGCTGCAGCACTTGGGACTCATCTCCCCCAGTGTGCAGGTGTCTGCCAGCCCCGGGCCCGGAACTGTTCCCTTGTCTCCAAGAATAGAGGTTGTTAGTGTCATACCAGAAAATGCAAGCACTCAGCAAGGGAGGGCCACCAGGTATGACTCTCCAGTCCCAGGCCAGAACCAACCAAATGGACACTCCATTGCTGTGACAGGGGCACAACAGGTAAGAGTATTTCCATTCAATTTACTTCTTCCTTAGGTTATTAAGTCCCAAATATCAGTGTCAGGGGAGACTTGCTTTTTTGCTTTTCTTCTTTGGAAAGGGAAAGGATGGGAGAGTAAGGACATTGAATGCATGCCTGCCTTCCAATCACAGGAAGTGTACCCAAGGAGTCCCTATTACTGAGTTATCATGAGCTTTTTGTCTTGCCTTGACAAAAATAGCTAGAATGTCAGATTCATCCAGGCTTACCTAGTCGATTTCAAAGTATGCTAGGCTCCCACATGTGACACGTCCTTCCAGTCCAATATTCTAAGGCTGCTAAGGCATACTTCTGTGGATTTGACTTCTTTTTTCCATTCTTCTCTTTCCAATCAGCCTGTTCCCGTGACACCCAAAGGATCACAATTAGTGGCCGAAAGTTTCTTCCGTACCCCAGGTGGACCAATGAAGTCAATGGGCTCATCCTGTGTGGATTTCGATGGTGCTAATAAAACCTCCATAGGAACTCTCTTTGTCCCACAGCGGAAACTGGAAGTCTCAACAGAGGATGTTCATTAATTGACGGATTTGGCTTCATTTAATTTTCTAAAGAGTTGTTTAATAGAGAAGATGTACTCAGAATGGTTTGGAGAACACATTCTCTGAAAATATTATAAATACGTTGAGTGTTTACTTAATTTCAAAACACACGTTTTTGTACTTAAATGCACACACATTACATATATGTATATATATATTTGTATGAGGCTAAATTCAGCCATTAGTCCTAAAAAATAAAAGTAAAATGTTAAACTAAGGTATATTAACTTTTAGGGGGAAAGAATTAATTATTTCACCTGTGCCTACACTATTATGCAAAGTGACTGTATTAAAGTTTACGTCCCTTTAAGTGAATGTGTGATATGCCTAACGCAGCATTCTCGTAAATTTTGCACAAAGAAAAACGCTGTGATGTATAATGTATTTTTAAATAGGAAGGCTATAGGTATATTTTTTTGTAATTTTAATGTGTTGTTGCAGTATGTCTTTTTGTAAAGTTCGCAACAATTCTCAATCAAGTCTATGGAAAAATTATTTATAAAATGTATTTTTAATCATAAGTTTTTGAAATTAAAACTTTTTCTAAAATGTATTTTAACATTTTCATTTGGCCAGTTAGGGCACTGTTGGGAGAAAAATGAAAATTTATCCAACCTCAGGGGCAGATTCTCCGGAAGGAGAATACATCCAGGGTTCCCTTAGATATGCAAAGTTTACAACTGGAGAGTCATACCTGGTAGCCCTCCCTTGCTGAGTGCCTACATTCTGCCCTCCTTTTGATCTTCCCTCCAGTTCCACTTTTACAGAAGTGAAAATGGCTTCCGAGCCTCTGTTGCTTGGCCAAGATCACCCAGCAAATCCCACGTGCTTTCCATCATACTCTGGGAGACTGGAAATGAAGGTAGGAGCTGGGGTGCTCCCTACCCTGCCCCTGTGCCACCAGCTTCTTCCCCAGGCCTCCCACTGTCTACAGAGGAGGGGCTGCAGCTACAGCCCCCTTAACACACTTTCCCAACGGCCCAGCTCCAGGGATGAGAAAGCAGCAGTAAGGATTCTAATTTCCTCCCCACACAAGAAACTACACTAAATCCCTATGAGCTCCAAGACAAGGCAGGAGCTATAATGTGTTAAGTGTCTGTCTCGACCCCCTCTTGTTATGGAATGAATTACACCTTGAGAATTGACATATGCCCTCCTGCTCTGGGTCTCTTAAAGTATATCTATGTCCTATATGTTTACTATATGCCAGGCACCGTGTTATACATTTTAAAGGCATTATCTCTACGAGCTAGGACTACAAGGTCACTGAGGCTCTCAGAAACTAAAACATTAAGTCCAGAGTCACACAGCTAAGATTCAACCAATGTCTATTGGCCCTCTTTATCTATTACCCATCTACCTCCACATGCATGCCTAGCAGCTCTGGTAGAACCAAGCAAAATCTCGGTAATCTGAGCATTTATAAGATCACCTCTTTCAAATATACATGTTTTGTTTGCACAACCAAGTACAACTAAGAGAGGAGAGATTTTCACGTTAACCTGGAGACCCTATCTTCCTTCACACTACTAGAGATCTAATATGAGTTATCCCAAAGTACCTCTGCCTTCGCTTTTACCTTACATGGAAGACATGTGAAGTTTCTGATATAAGAAATGGCTCCTGCATTTAGGTACTTATAGTTGAGAAAGACAATATGTACAATAAATGAAGAAAGAATTTGCATGCGATAAAAACAAAAATTTACCAAACGATATAGACAAAAGATATAGTCCAGTGGAGGCTACTAGATTCAATAGCAAACAGACAACTGCAAGAGAAATACCAACCAGACAGTCACAGTAGCTCTGAGATGAATCGCCTTACATCCTCTCCCCATCCCCTGCAGCTGAAATAAAGAAATTGGAGGTCAAGGTTTTGTTCTGCCTGCCCCATCAGTTCTCCACCTGAGGAAGTACCTCCACGGGCCTGCAGTCTGGGGAAATCATACATACAGGGAGAATGACTTAAGCAGTTCTGAGAGTCGTCCCACTGAGTTCTGCCACTCTGACAGATTCATAGATTTGCCCCCATAACCCTCACCACCTGGTGTTCATCCCCTTGTGTGACCTCCTCCCCTTGAGTGTGGGTTGAGCCTATGAATCCCTTCTAACCAATACGATATATAATAAAGGTGATGGGATGTGTGTGATTATATGTACACAATTACATGTTTATATAAGATTGTAGTGCCTGTCTTGCTGGAGTCTCCCTTGCTGGCTATGAGAAACCCAAGTGGTCATGATGGGGAACCCCACATAGCAAGAAACTAGACAGCCTCTTGGAGCTGAGGGCGGTCTGCAGCCAACAACAAGCAAGCAACCGAAATCCTCAGCCCTACCTAGAGTTGCAAGGAACTGAATTCTGACAACCTGAGTGAGCTTGCAAGTGGATCTTCCTTCGGTCAGACCTTAGATGAGACTGCAACCCTGACACCTGATTACAGCCCGATAAGACCTTAAGCATAGAGTCTAAGCTCTCCCTAGACTCCTGACTCATAGGAACTGTGACGTAATAAATTTGTGTTGTTTTAAGATGCTAAGGTTGTGGTAATACTGTTATGCAGAAATAGAGAACTAATATAACCACTGTTCTATAGTGATATAGTTATCACTAGTAGGACAACTAATAACCCTCTAATACTCCTGTCTTCTTCCATTTTGCCTTATTATTGTTCATTGGTTTTATTGTCATTCAGAGACACAAACATCATAGGGACATAGTGGTCCCAAAGGCTGTCATGGGAGAAACACTGTCCATTTTTAAAGCTAGAAGCAACTTTAAAGTTGTTGAGTAGTAGCACAGTAGCGTACAAAGTTATCTGCCCAGCATGCAATTTCTTTTTTCAAACTGCCTTCTGATTTCCTCTTAAGGAATTACTGGATGGAGCCCAGTGGGCTGTAACTAGGGGACCCCACCCAAATCTATAGCAAAGGTGGGCTTGTCATCCAGGAGGCCTCCTTGGAATTTCATCTTCCATTTCATCCTAGCAATGACCACCTTCTCCCCTCTCTGGACTCACTGCAAGGGTTTCTGGTTCCCAGCCTCTGCAAAGGCCATGGCACCTGCCCGTGTTCAAACCTGATTTTCAGCCATCCACTGATTCAACAGGCCTTTGCTATCCTTCTAATAAGTTCCTTTTGCTTGAAGTTGCCATTCTGAGCCTGGTAACCAAAGAACTCTTACAGAGGGGAACCCAGAGCCGAAGCTCCCCAATTCCCAGACCAACTGGTTCTCTGTTCCCTGGGCCTGGTGAAAACCAGCCAGTGAATAGAAAAAGCCTTAAGAAAGGTTTATCTCACCAGAAAATGCAAGCAACTCACCCACAATCAAGTGAATGCAAAGTGTCATTTTAAATACGTGAAAGGGAAAAGGTTGAAAAAGAGACACAAGGAACCCAGGAAACTGGAGCAATAGAATTTGATGGAAAAAAAAAAATTTTAACCCAGCTTTAAAATAAATTCCCTCAGCTTTGTCCTTTTGAAGTGATTAGCGTTTCTGTAGATAAAGGATAAAGAAATTTCCAAAACTTAAGCTGATAAGCTGTCTGGGCAATACTATTATTAATGATAGAAAATATTGTGGGTTGACTGCAGATTCTTTACAGTATTTATCACAACCTGGTAGTGTTCAAATCTTGAGGGACTAAAATAAGAGGTAAGCTAGAGGAAAAAGTGTCATTACTGGAGGTTAAAAAAGATGTTATTTAACTTTTAAAGAAGTGGTTTTACATCTCATTTCCTATTCGAGTGCATTCAAGTCGATTACTTGCTTGGTCCGATCAGGAACTAAATGCAGACTTGTCATGAATGTAAATATTTTGTAAAAAAACATAGGTAGGGAGTGTATTATCAGTGCCCTCCAACAGTCAAGTAATTAACTGCATTTTTAAAGGATACAAGAGAATCTTCCATATTCCATGAGTTAGGCTCAGAGTCTGATTTGCCCAGTATATACTGAATTTTATTTTAAAAATATTTGTTTAGTTTTCAACCCCTTGCTCAGCACCGTGTTATGCAAAATAATGCCTATTATCCTACTTTGGATGATAAAAGATTCTCTTCGTGTGACTATTCTAGAAATTTATCTTAAATGAAAACATTTTTATTTTAGTTACTATTGATTAAAATTCTTTCTAAAATAATAAAATAGCTCCTTAGATTCCTAAATAGAGTACTTTGAATATAATTTAATGTTTTCTTCATGTTTAAGAAACTCATGAGCACTATCGTTTTATTAAATTCAAATTCAACAAATACTTTAGGCCATCTATGATACTGCCTGTAGGAGCTATTAAATGGGTAGATCTATGTCCTTCTAAAACGAATGGCTCCAGAATATTATGCTTTTCAAGTTCTGTTTTTGTGGTTCCCAACTTTCCTCTTCCCTCTACTCTCATGATTAATCTAACCTAGGAAAGCTAAAGGATTTCAGAGGAACTGATGTCATCACTTTCACTTTTATAAACCATTCTGAGTCAATAGATTTCTAACTAGTTAAGGAGTGCTGTTTCTCTCCTGTGGAGTAAAAACTATGGGCTTCATCTCAGGTGTTTCCTTTGCCAATCAGTGGTCTTTCTCACTGTCCACACAAATCCAAACCTGTTTCTAGTGGGAATCTGTGACCGTGATGGAAGGCCAGAAATGCTGAATATAAATTATAATACCTGTATTCATCATTGAAATCTAACACTTAGACAATTAAGGCAGTTCTACCTGGAAATATTCTGAGAAACAGGACATGTTTTAGATCTATTAAGAGAAAAGATAAGATTTGAGAGATGAAAAGAATAATCTTTATTGAGCATCTACTAATATACCTACTTCAAAACAATATTATGAGGTGGGTACTATTGGCCCTGTTTTACAGATGAGAAAGCTAATTCCAGAAAGCGTAAGGAACATGTCCCAGTCACACGGTGTGTAAACAAGCAAGTACTTGCAGATGCACCTGATGACAAAGCCCGTGCTGATTCCAGAACACCATACTCCTGAGCTCCATCACACTAAAGCTATCACATGTTTTCAGACTGTGATGAAACAGGCTGATTCCAGATTGTTCATGACAAATGAGAACAGGGCTTCAGGAGCATTACTCCTAAGGTGTGACAGCTATTTCTAGATCAGATCCTCTACCTATAGTGATTTATACGGTGTCAAGTTGTTTAAACCAGAACAAACTTTCGCAAAAAAAAAAAAAAAAAAAAAAATCCTTTATGTTATAGTTGTGTTTTGGGTTAGCCAAAAGAGGAATATTCAGACTGACTGGGTGGTGACCACTCTGATTCTCCAACTCACCCTTTAAACTTTCACTTTCTCACCTCCTCCTACAATTGTGCAAGGTCTAATTCCTGTTAGAAATCCCTTATTCATAATTAATCATGGTTCTGTTTCCCTAATTAATCTTTGACTATATAATCCCATGTGGTACTTTTGATAGGAAATGGGGTGGGGGGAGTTCCAGAGATGGCCAGGGGCTATCTACTTCCCAGTGCCCAGAGAATAGGATGTGCCAGCGAGTTGGCACTTTATTAGCTGTGGGTCACTTTGGTTG